GGAGGGGAATTCTGTTTGTGGAGTTCGAAACTCTCCTCAAAACAGATCCAGATCCAACAAGAAGGCCCACCAAACTCGCCCCAGTTGCGATTCAGCATATTGAAAGACTGCCCGAACAACTGATAACCTGTAGGAACTGGAGGGGCATTCTGTTTGTGGAGTGCGAAACTCTGCTCAAAACAGATGCAGATCCAACAAGAAGGTCCGGCATCCGGGATCTCCATGAGTTTCAAGAAACACGAAGCTGTTGCGACGGGGACCTTGTGCTCATTGTGCCCCAGATTTGTTCATCCAGCGCCAAACTCTGCACCGAACGGACCGGAACCCCGCAACATGGACCCCTAAGAGTGTTTTTGGCATTTCCCAACGACAATGACCGACTGTTTGGCACATGTTGATGGTGGTCGGGAGACAACCGCATATGGACAAAAGCCATCCCGTGCACGGAAAGTGTTTCTAAAGATCGGTTGGCGGCGGACTTAGATTGCGAGCATGTCCAGGCAGAATGGGTGGCAGGACCTTTTCGAAGGTCGCGTTGGACGGGGTTTGGTCTCCTCCTAGCACTCGAAGTTCGGATGCCAGTCGGACGGGCCTGTGGCCTCCAACTGCGGAGATATCACGGAACCTCGATTGGAACAGGCGAGCGCGAGAAGTTCGTCGGGATCCAAACTTAAAGAGGGTGCGAGAGTGAGAGAGCCAGAGAGAGAGTGAGAGGATCCGAATGTACGCGGGTTTTGAAATTAACGGGGAACAAGACAGACCACACTCGCATCATAGGCTACTCGATAACTTTCAGTGCGCCGGTACCTGAGTTTCTGTTGCCTTACGATTACTCAACAGCTCGAGGCGCGTCGGCCCATGCAGACAGCGCTCCTAAGTCGTGCGGTCCGCCCAACACCAGCAAGACCAAAGACAAACCGACGCACTACCCAAAACGCGAAGTTCGCCGGGATCAGAACTTCAGCACGACGCGACATGGAAAGAGACGGCGCCAGACACAGACGACCCGTAATTCGGTGGTTGTTGAACTGAACGACGATCAGGGATTTGCACCACAAGTGCGCGGTATAGCGTCTACTCGCAACTGCTGCCTCTCACACCTCTCTCCACTACTTCAAATCTGCCATTTTCGGCAGCACACAAGCCTCTCACACCTCTCCCTTCTTTTCCCTTAAACACAAGGTCTGACTACCCGTCCAGATCTAGTGACATTCGGGGTTCCCCGGGGACGAGGTCGTGAACCGAAGCCATACAAAGCATTCATTGATGATCCATATACGTGGATCTGCGGTTCGTCGACTGATGCACTCTCCGAAAAAACGGACATGTATTTCATCCTAACAAACACTCCGGGTCGTGTTAAGGAATTCCTTATACAGTCCCGTATGTCAGACACTTTCTCCTCCTCCTCACGCTACAACGAAAAGTTTTGGACCTGCCCTGCTATCACCAAATCTCGCCACCCATCTACACGAGCAGGCTTGCGCGTTGGCAGGAATTTGGACCTCTCAATTGTCACCTCGTTGCGTGATATAAACACAACTGCATCGACGAGTTTCTTACTTTTGTTCGAAGTAGCGACACATAGAACTCTGGCGAAATCAGCTCCGGACACAGTCAACCCCACACAACAGTATGACACAACTTGTGGAGAAATCCCGGGGCAACGGAGTGGGTACTGCTCCAGGAACGAGCAGTGACGAGCGTAGTCCACCAACTCTTGTTTCCGCGAGCCTCCCTAAGTTCGTGGCGACGACCTGACGTAGTGGCACGCGAGGCGAGTGAAATAGCGGCTGATGCAGCTTAGTGCTCTGCGCATACGGTTCAGGAACTTGTGTCCGAGGACAGCATCAGGCAATGGGATGAGGTTCCCAAACTCTAAAATGTTGGCGAACTTGTACTGGCTTGCCCAAGGGCAGTCACTCTCCATGGCGGCCCAGTTGCCCTCGCACCAACCGTCAAGATGTCCGTCCATGCACGGGACGACGGTCATCCATGGGTCCTCTTCGAAGTCCTCACTGGTCGCTCCGTGGATCGAAGTCCCACCGTTGAAATGCCGCACGGATTTCGCACAAGGAGGAAACGGTTCTGCTAAGCGAATATGCGTCTCGGGACTTATGGTCCGTGGTGTCGAGAAGATCGACTTCATGATCCGTGGTGTCGAAAAGGTCGCCTCCATTACGCACCCTACACACCACGCGCATATACCAAACGATACATACGGGCACATAGACACTCGTAAACAGAGTTGGCGAATGGGACCTGCCATGGCCACACCCACACGTAGTTGCCAAGTCCTGAACTGAACAGTCACGAGGTTCCACATGCCTTCAAGCACTGCACATGCACAGGGTTATGCAGCTCCACCCGATGTGTTACTGCAACTGCCTTCAATGCCCTTGATCAAATGACATTGTCCGCAATCTTACCTTCCACTGACGGTTTATGCTTATCTGAGCACATCGTTCGCGTTCATACGGGTTTCGTTAATACCCGACAAATCGTTCTGCATTCCTGGATATGCACGACACGTTAACCATCGCGTTTCGTGAATACCCAACAAATGAGGACAGGAGATTTTGGACACTGCGTAATATTTCGGAGTCGGCGGTAAACAAACCGTCCGACGTTAAACGGAAATGGCAGGTGGAAACGCGAAGTTCGCCGCAGTCCAAACTCAAGGAGGGTGCGAGAGAGTGATAGGAAGAGAGATGGGTTCTGCACTTGCGTGTCTGGTGAACTCCCAAGGGCGCAAGGAAAACCAAAGTATCATTGGACGCCAGACGAAATTGACCACTCCGCCGGCGTCCGAACGTGTTCTGCAATGCGTTTAGTTCGGAAACGGACACAACCAACGTTCATAGGCCAGACTCGGAGAACCATTACGGTTTCCAAGACGGGGTGAAACGTGGAGTTCGGATCCGGGCGAACTTCTGTCGTTGTGGCAATCCACCGGGCGCCAGAAAGAGCACAGGCAGAACCCACATCATGCGAAACCGCGAAGTTCGTCGGGATCCGAACTTGACGATCATTGTGCGAGGAACCCTGTTTGCGTGAAATGCACAAGGCGCCGGGTCTACCACAACGTGATCATTTGACGCTATCATGCTGTCCTGTTTTGTGATCTGCGACCTCTGGTCCCAGACGAAGCAACCTTGTAAGGTTATTCTAATTTGAGCAACCTTGTAAGGTGATTCCAGTTCGGAATATCGTTAAGTCCGGACTCGAGCAGACTTGTTTTTTCCCGCTGTCCTAAGTGTTGCGGGCCTACCCCCGCTACTTGAGTGTTTTCCCCCTGCAACCCTCAAAGTCACCGCCACAGGTAAGTGTCGGCCCTGCGGGGCCCTTCAACTAACAAGGACCCTTGCAGGTCATACACACACTCAACCGACAAGCACTCAGACACGCATGCAAACCAGCAGGCATGCACACAAACAGACATGGAAATCACAGCGGAATGCGGGAATTTCAGCAAGGCATTCATTCCAGCAGCAAATCCCAGAAATCAGCAGTGTTCTCAGTCTGTGCTTTTGGCGGGTCATTACATTACCCCCCTCTCAAGAGCGAGGTCCCTTCGAGCGAGTAACTCATTCAGAGTTGGCACAAAATGCGTCATAAGAGTAAATCAGAAGGAGAGAGTTAGTAAGTCCGTGAGGAGTCATGGGCGCAACAAATTTAGCAGTCTATCCCTCAGCGATCTGTCGTTCATAAGCGTTCAGAACATAGGGAGCACTCTTTAGCAGCTCTTTTCGGTCGATCCAGAAGAACTCAGTCAACGGGTGATAGAGGAAGTAAACCTT